AATAAAAGCAAAGTGTCAGCGCGCCATTAAACATATTCATCCACCACTGGTCCGTGCTGAGACTGGTTTTGGCGGCATAGACTGACATTTTAGGACACTTCAACATTCTTCTTTGGAGAACATGTTCAACAGAGGGGTCAGACACAACTATGAAAGCTACCCAGTGGAGGCACACACAGTGATTCGAAAAACTGTCATGAATCCTTACCTTCTGTTGCCTCTTTCTTTCTAAGTTCCTTTGCTGGGATAAGTGGCTAACTAGTGTTCTAATAAGCCTGGAATGTGTCCCTGGACCAAAAATGGGCAACTGGCAGCCTACTATTTGCACTCTGTTTAATTGGAAAAACACAAAATATAAAACCGGCTCAGGCTGTACCCCTTCTACTGCCAGAAGACAGCTGGGATCTGCTCTCACACGCCCGCGACACTCATGAGGATCAGCATTAGATGGCCTGGTTTGCACTTACACTCACTTATCCTGTCTATACGACTACATGAAAATATTGTTTTGAGATTTGGAATGATATGCATGACAAACATAATTCCTCAAGAATACAACAATTTTGAGTGAGTTAATTTTTGTGGGTAAAAAAATGCACAAAATGAGTTCTTGCACTTTATGTTGGTTTTGCTGTTAAGAAGTTTTGTGCCATCCTTGAATTGTAATTCAAAGGCAGCCCTGTGTGTTGGGAAAAAAAAGTCACAGTATATGGTTATTTTGTTGTTTGCGTCAAACTCTTTGTTGTTGGGTCAGGAAAGTGGATCTTTTAGACATGCATTGAAAACTGTATTTAAAATAGCATTTTTGCCATACATCTGGTTAGAAAGCATGTACTGTAGTCCTACTTGGCCCTCGAGCAATACTGATGAAAAAAGTGTGGCTCCTTCCGGCATTTAAGTTGCTCATCCCGATCGTAGATAAAGTGCTATACAAGTCCACTTCATTTACATTATCGACAAAAACTGGATTTTTTTTCTCCTTTTTTGGACTATAATGTGTTATGGCAAATGTACAATGAGTAATTCATTTGAGTTTATTTGAAAGTCGTTTGTTAATGTCAGCAAGCATAGTAAACAAGGCTTTTGGGGGCAAGTTTGAGCTCTCGCTTTCAGGGGGAGTGTTTTTAATTATTTACGCAACAACAGAAACCCAAATCATTAACTCACTCAAGACTAGATTCTGAATTATACTCGAAAACGTGAGATGATTATCCAACTTCTTAATGTACGTGCACGCCACAAGGGTTAAACTTCCTCAAAATGAGTCAAAAGATCGCCATGTGCCTGTATGCACTTGCGACAACACCTGTTCAAATGGTGGTGTCATGGGATATCTTTTCCCAGGCTTGGATCAAAGGAACAGTGAGCTCCAAGGGAAGCCCGTCGTGCGACACGGCAGCTGTGGAAGCAACAATAGTTGACGTCCCTGTGGTGCTTGATTAGATTTACAGCAGTTGGGGACTTCTGGCCCGCCAAAGATATGTGCTGCTCTGGACTGACACGAACCCACTACGCAACCAGTCATAGTGGAGGATGTTACAGGCAGCGGAACACTCTCCACAGGTTGGTGACTGCCAATTCTGGTGTTCTCTGGCAAATGTCTGGTTGCATGGTGCCAGGCTATGAGCACAGGTCCCACTTGTGTACATTGGGCCTGCATGCAGTCTTTTTCTGGCAGTGCTTGTCCTGTGCCTCCTTGCACAAAGGAGCAGAAAAAGGCATCACCTACCTACCGTAGTATATTGGCATGACTCCTGGGATCTCCGATACACTCTTGACTCTCCTGGGAGACAAAACTAACATTTGGGCAATAGCACGAAAGCATGTGCCATCCTGGAAGGTCGACCTGTACATCAGGGATTGGCAGGTGGCCATTGTTCATCAGTGCTACTCCGGGGCGGGGGGACATATAGGGCCACATGCTTCCAAACCAGACGTATGACCAAAATGCCATTTGAAATATGGACAAATATATGCAAAATACATACTCTTAATATATTTCATTTTCCACAATACATTTCTCAATGCAAATACAAAAGACAGGTTTGAACTATCCACTGGATATACTGAGATTGTTATTATTATTTTTTTAATAACCCTGACATTGTTTTGGTGCATTGGCCGGGAACCGAACACAGGCCTCCCGCGTGGCAGGTGAGAATTCTACCACTGAACCACCAATGCTAATCACTCTTAACTAGACATTCATGATAAAGACCCACTGAGGAGAGGAGACGCTTCTGGTACTAAATCACTCGAGAGGGGGACGAGGAGAAGAGTTAGCTTTCAGTTCTCTGCACGTCACCCAAGGATATCCCCGCTCCAACTGTCATTTATTTCTCATTTGGAATCTAATACATGGGTGTGTCCAACCTAAAGGGTGAGGGCTGTTGAAGACACACTGAACTTGTTTGACTATGTGTGTGTATGTGAGTGAAAATTATGTACATGTGTGCAATCATTACAAAAACACCAAGTTGCAGCTGGTGTTGACAGTTCTATCCATGCCCGACCTTGCTCTTGTTTTGTCTTAATACTTATGTACCTCTTTCCAACCACTTCCTCGTAAAGGTGGTTGCGTCCCTCAACTGTCACACAGTGCACTTAGCATTCTTTATTATAGATGTGAGCATGTCTTTATTAAAAGCATAAGCGTTCTTCATTGCAGGCATGATCAATATATCATTGCAGGCATAAGTGTTCTTCATTGCAAACATAATCAATTCATCATTAATAACCTCCTGACTACCAGTAGTTCAAATTTGTCCTCTGTAGAGGACATTTGTGAACCTAAATATCTCCCACCCAGTGCCTCCAATCGCATTAACTCTTTTTGTTACTCTAAAGAGGACATTCAGTGCTTTCCAATGATACCAAATTTGTAGGGGTTAGAAAAAGTAAGAAAATGGCTTCCCTCAGTGCAAGCACTTTTTATGGGAAGAGGAAAAGTAATACTTTTTATCGACCACATTTTGTCTTGAAATGCTGTTGGCATTTTAATTATAAGACTCTTATGAACACGTTAAAGTGTTGTTTGAGTTGTTTTAAGTGTATTTGAGCCTGTTTAAAAAATGTAGTGGGATTTCAAAAAAATTTTTGGAGGAGTCCAATTACTTCACATAGATTGGGGAATGTCAAAATAAATGTGATTGGACAACATTTTTTTTCCTGGTAGTCAGGAGGATATTATGCAAATATATGATAAGTAAAAACAATCAACCTAACACAGACATTTTGGCAGAAAGGCATCCATGACTGAGTAAGTATGATGTCACATGGTCGCGTGGGACAAGAACCTTTGGTTTGGAATGAAAATAATATTCATTCATTCATTCATTCATCTTCCGAACCGCTTGATCCTCACTAGGGTCGCGGGGGGTGCTGGAGCCCATCCCAGCTGTCTTCGGGCAGTAGGCGGGGGACACCCTGAATCGGTTGCCAGCCAGGGCACACAGAGACGAACAACCATCCACGCTCACATTCACACCTAGGGACAATACAGAGTGTTCAATCAGCCTACCATGCATGTTTTTTGGAATGTGGGAGGAAACCGGAGCACCCGGAGAAAACCCACGCAGGCCCGGGGAGAACATGCAAACTCCACACAGGGAGGCCGGAGCTGGAATTGAACCCGGTACCTCTGCACTGTGAAGTCGACGTGCTAACCACTGGACTACCGGGCCGCGAAAATAATATTTATTTTATTTATATATATTGTTTTGGATTCAGTTTCAGGGGTTGTGAAGTTTACCTTCAGTCAAAGTGAAAAGAAGTGGTTTATTTTGGAAACTGGAAATAACAAATGTAAAATGCAAATACAGTAGTAGTCGTTTCCCTCTTTTCAGTGCAAAAACTAGGCAGGAATCACCCAGAATAATAAATACAGGGAAATGGTCTGTGGCCAACACCTGCAAAACAATTCCTTGGAAGGCTTTGTCTTGCTAATTGGATTTCATTTCTACCTTTTTTCCGTCCAGTTTGCACACCAGCAGTGACAGTGATTCACAGTTGTTGCCTCCGAGCTGCCGTGTGATTCACTTGAAGTTACACGCTGATGTTTACTGCATGTGCTCCCTTTAATTAACTTTAATGTGTGATGGATATTGAAACACCATTTGTGGTGTCAGAGGTGTTTCCTCCAACAGGATGTTGACTTTTGGGATTTCCTCCATTTCCCGCGACTCTTCCCTCTCTCACTCTCTCATCCCCCCAACCCCAACACGTTCCTCCCCCCTCATCCTTTGTCAGCCGTATCTGACCTCCAGACAGAAGAATCCCAGCATTGTTTTCACATTTCACCTGAAGCGGAAGCATTGCAAGTTGCAACGTATGACAACACGAAATCAAGACCCGACAGAACCACAATAAAAGTAGACTGTTACTAAAGTGTATTTCACCTGAAATCTAAATATTGGCATCTACTTTTATGTAATGCGATTGTATTAAAAACAAACAATAAGTGAAAAAAATTCAAAAGTGTGTGTGTGTTTGGTGGGGTGCATACTATGACCTTCAATGCGACCCCTCTCGTGTTGGACAACATCCATTTGACGTCACTGCTGCATATGACCAGTGCCTCTTGTGGAGGGTGCAACGCAACAACTGACACTGTTGCATATATACACACACACACACACACACACACACACACACACACACACACACACACACACACAGAGCTCTGGAATAAACAATAAACACTCTACCTTTTCTGGTCTTTTGACTATTTGTCATTATCTGTAAAGTAATTCTCAAAATGACCATATTTGTATTTGGAATTTGTCAGTAGTTAATGCAATAAAACCAAAATGTTCATTTTACTAAAAACATAAAAAGTGGTTCCTTTTGATACGAGTTTAATCAGTTCCGTGACAACACTTGTTACTCAAAGCTCTTGTATCTCAGGCCATCTTTCCCAATTATTAAATTAAAAATTAAATTTAAGTTTTCCCAGACCCCTCGACATCCTCCAAAAAACAACTTTTTTAAAATAGGGAAACCTGCACTCAAAATATTATACTTCAGAAAAAAATAATGACATCATTGTAAAGAATTAAAAAAAAACGTTTTTGTCTGATTTTGCATGTGTGCTGCTCATTCTGGTGTGTGCGCCTTAGCCACCTGGGGGCAGTATAATTCAGACAGACAGCTATACTGTGTTGGGGGTTCTGTTCTGCTTCTCATTAGGGGATCATAATTAGTCGATCTTTGCAAAGGATAAAGACTACATCCCTTTGAGTACTGTTATATTGTCTCCATGCGTACCCAAATGGAGTTTGTGTTGTCTGTTGTCTTGGATAACAACAGCACCACATACAGTAGATGCAAATTGCCCTGACATGTTTTTCGTTCTATGTGTCAAATATACAAAGTGTAATTGTTTTTGTTTTATGTTTAGTTGGACTGTGACCTGTAGCTGGGAAACTAGGAGTGGTAATAAATAGTTTGGGGACTCTTTTTTTTTTTGAAGAATATTTACAAATAACTGGCAACCAGTTTAGGGTGTACCCCACCAACAGCCCGATGTCAGCCGTGACCCTTATGAGGATAAAGCGGTCCAGATAATGGACGTATGGATGGACCTGCTAAACTTTGCTTCCTGTGAGTCACTTCACTGCCACCATACAGTACTCATGTCTCAAGTTTGGTCTTGCAAGCCAAAGCAAAAAAACAAAACAAAAGGACACGCAGTACTATGATGCTCGCTGAACTGAGCTCTCGTGAGGCTCGCTGAGTGATGGCCGTTCCAACTATGAAGTTATGTGTAAATTTCCCCCCAAAATGTTGGTGAAATTCCAAATAATACAACCTTAGGGCATTGGTCTTCCATTGGAACGTGATGGGAATAATAAGGTTGGATGTGAAGCACCAGTGTATGAGTTGTGGTGGACTAAATCCTTTACACATGGTGGTCACATGACCCGTACAGGCAGCCAAATCACAGAGTGAGAGAGCCAGCAGCAGACTGAGAGAGAGAGCGAGGTGCCCCTCAGTCCCTGAACACACCAGTGGCTAACCACACACTCCATCCCGTGGCTCCAGACACACACACACACACTCGCGCACATACATACATTGACTCCACCAATGATATGTTGGGAATAGCTTGTAGAGGGAAACCTAAGATGGGAAAAGTGAGAAAAGGAGACAAACAAAAGAAATGGCGCCCAACTTTTCATATGAGTGGCATTGTGCACTAGTGGACATCTGCAGTGTAGCGGTTCAAAAAAATGGGTCAACCAGTGTACTTGGATTCCTCACAATGATCAAAGAGACTGTTGACATGCATTATCCTCCTCAATTATTTGTCAATATTTTTTGGCAGAATATTGTATGCCGGGTGGCCCGGTGAACCAGTGGTAAGCATGTCGACCTCACAGTGCAGAGGTACCGGGTTTGATTCCGGCTCCGGCCTTCCTGTGTGGAGTTTGCATGTTCCCCCCCATGCCTGCGTGGGTTTTCTCTGGGTACTCCGGTTTCCTCCCACATTCTAAAAACATGCATGGCAGGCTGATTGAACACTCCAAATTGTCCCTAGGTGTGAGTGTGAGCATGGATGGTTGTTCGTCTCTGTGTGGCCTACGATTGGCTGGCAACCAGTTTAGGGTGTCCCCTGCCTACTGCCCAAAGACAGCTGGGATAGGCTCCAGCACCCCCCGCAACCCTTGTGAGGATAAAACGGATTGGAAAATGGATGGATGGATGGATGTATGGATGTATGCCAAGACGAACTTTGTCATTTCTCTCTTCAACAAGGGGTGCAGTGGTGTCGTCCAGGGTGTATGTAGGTATACGACCTATACTTATTTATTTATCACTCAGCATTGCGTATACTCCAGCTTCCCGCCGCGGAGCTACGAGGAAGTAGCATTGGTAAGTCGCATCTCGTTGATGGTCCGCATTCATTTATAATTTAATAAGAATATTTCAGTTTGTTTTTCTTTTTCTATTGTGTGGTGTGCTTAATTAGTTCCGTGATTTGTTCTGAGTCCACATTGCTTTTTATTGTTATTTAAATGACGTTTTGTCGAGAGAACGTTTTTACACGTTGAGTTGATAGAAAGTGTTGCACAGTCATGTTCGAGACCGAATGTGACTTCACCATTGCCCCCGCTGTACCGTGTTGCAGGTAATGTTTGTTTCTTTTCCATTTTACTGTACAGTATATCACCGATGTCAAAGTCAAGGCCCGGGGGCCAGATCTGGCCCGCCACGTCATTTTATGTGGCCCGCGAAAGCAAATCAAGCATGTCAAGTTCCATGATGCTTGCTAAAGTCTGATCCAAAATTTCAAATTGTCACATGTAATTCACAATTACAGTCATTATTCTTGACTTCTGATTTTGAAACTAATCATCCATCAATTTGTTGTGCGCTGTGTATGTATAACGTGGTGGTGATTAAACATTGATATGGTTTCCCAAAATTCATAACGGCCCTCCAAGGGAAACTGTAACTACAATGTGGCCCGTGACAAAATTTAGTTTGACACCCCTGCTGTATATAGTTGTTCGTGTCGTTTTTTCATTTGGCCGCTTGTGTTACTGGCGTGAGCCCGCATTTCGTCCAGGCCGCCATTATTGCTCGTTGCGCAGCCGTTTCTGCTGCGTGTGATGCGTTTAGTGACACCATGTAAATAATACTGAACGTGTTCGTTTTCTCCTTTTCTGTTCATAGTTACTCTACGATGACTCACGTTGTGTATTTTATTTTGTTATGGACAGTGTTTTGTTATAAGGAGAGCTACAAGGAAGTCGCATTGCCATGTCAGAGACCAAATGCGACATCATCATTGCTCCCTCCATACTGTGTTGCAAAGTCCCATTAAAAGAAAAGCCACAATCCACAAAGCAGGGGTGCCCATTACGTCGATCCTGATCTACCGGTAGATCTAGGACTCGTCCCAATTAGATCCGAAAGGCGTATAGGAGAAAAAAAAAGTCACCGGAAGTTGTTCGAGCTCAGCAGTCTGCAATTGCAGCTTGTGATCAGAGCTGTTGCGCTATATCTTTGATCGTCATTATTCTCATTCAGAGTTTGCTTCGTGTACAATTCACCGAGGGCACGGGCAAAGAATAGGAATCTAGAGGGCTGAGGGAAGCACTTTAAAACGGTACGTGTGAGCTACGATAGTCAACAGGCTGCAAAAGTGCATCGCTTGATTCCGTGTTTGGCTTCTCATCATGGCGCGCGTGCTTGCGTGCTTGCGCGTGCGTGCGTGCGTGCGTGCGTGTGTGTGTGTGTGTGTGTGTGCGCGCGTGCGCGCGTGCGTGCGTGCGCGGTAAGGGGCGATCCGGGGAGGTTGGTTGAACGAAAAGTCGATCTTCGGTCCAAAAAGTTTGGGCACCCCTGCACTAAGGTGTCTCTTGCTCTTGAAGCGACAGCGACGTGGAGCTAAAGACTGTCACAATCAGTTGTGACACCCGTCACAGTTATCCTAACGTTAGCCTTAAGCAAGTTAGATTAGGATAATGTAGGGAACCCACGTAATTGTTAGTTTTCACCAAGTGTATAATTAAACCAGGTTGCAAAGAATGTCATGCCAGACAGTAATGTTAGATGAAACTGTGATGAGTGCCAGGAGATTGTCTCAGTGTCTTTGAAGCTTGTTTCTTATTTTAAGGCCTAAATTATAACACCAGTAAAGTTACTGAGCCCTAACTAACTGACACGATCGAGTTTAATTTTGTAGTAACCAAGCTGGTAGTTGATTTTAAAGTAAGTTAAAACACAAGAATGTAGAGAAATGGTTTAAGATTGGGCCAAAAACGATATGGAGGTAAATTGCATCCCCAGTTTATTGAAAGGTGAAGCCTCACACTAACAAAATGGGGATTTTTGATAGATGATGCCTCATTTTGAATGCCGATTAAGCTTGTAACCAAAGATGAATACGATTGAAAACGAACTGACCAAATCTGTAATTGTTAGCTATTTACCCATTGTTCACTTGAGCAACAATTCCTAGTTCAGACATTGAGTTTACCAATAAAGAACATAAAGAGCTTATTTTTAGGATGATTCCTCTCTGGGATATTTTTTCCCCTTCTGGTCTTTTTTCAGTTTCCCACACGTTCTCTTTGCGTCTGCTGGCAGTCGTGCACATTCACCGCGGCGTCACGCTGGGTCGCCACGCTGCACACCCTCCCACGTGGCGTCAGGGCCTCTTATAGTGACAAAACCAGCAGCGCACAAATATAGAAAGAAGGGCTGAAATTCCATTTAATTTTAGACAGATTTCCACATCACTGCTGTGCTTGCAAAGCCAGTGTTTAGACCCACGCATGTCGATTCAGGGAAACCAAGCCAGCCAGAAAGATAAATATTCTGAACTATAACAGAAAGTTTGGACACGCAAATAGCAAGAACGCTTAAGTTGAGGGTTTAGAAATAGACGCTGTGGATCACAGACAGCCTCCATTCCTAAAAATGCCCCAGAGTGGGTTATCACTCACATTTATCCTACTTTTTTTCCCACTTTTAGACGTCTCAAATGAAATGGTTAGAGCAGAGAAAACATGACACACAAGTTATAAAATCTTTCTTTTTTTTTTTTTATTAAGGAGTGTTTTTGATTAGACTAGCAGAGAAAAAGTGGAACGAAAGACAACCAAATCAATCTACTAAGAAAGATTACAGTTGGAGATGGTGTAGGCAAGATGGGCTGGACAGATGCCTGGTCGGCGGGCGTCTTTCGGGGCTAATGCAGTGCAATTAATTTTTAATTCATTGTTTGGGATTCATTATTTTGTGATTCTTTTTATTCCTCCTTTACCCCACAAAAGACCAGCCTACAAATCAGCAGGAGAGGACCACTTTGCCATCTACAAAATGGACAGTAAATTGAACCAAACGACATCAGTAATGATAGTGGCTAAAGGAAACTCAAACGGTATATCTGGTTTGAATAAAAACATTTGATTATTACAGTCAATGTTTATCAAATTCATTGCCTTCACTCCATAACAAGCAATTAACATGCCTGGGAAGACATTGTTTATCATA